AGAAATTTAAATTGCATCTGTGACTAAACGCCTTTTTCTAAAGAAAGTGTCTATACGAACATTGCCCAGGAAAATGTAATGCGAGCTACACGTGTCATATTAATTTTCTAGTAGCCATATAAAAAAAAAGAAAACAGGTGAAATACATGTTAATAAAAATTTAAGAATGTATTTAACCCAATATATCCAAGGCATTATCATTTCAACACATAATCAATATAAAAAATAATGATATTATTTACATCTTTTTTTCAGATGAAGTCTTTGAAATCAGGTCCATATCTTACACTGACAGCACATCTCAGTTTGGAGTGGGCACAATTCAAATGCTCTATAAGCACCTATGGCCAGTGGCTGCCATATTGGAGAGCACAGGTCTATACATTTCCATCAATTCTCAAAGTGGTCCATGGCTGCCCATGAGATTAAGAACTATTTGTGGCCGGGCCAGTGTGGATCAGTGGTTGAGCGTTGATGTAAGATCCAGGAGTTCGAGTCCCAGGCAGGGCACATGCCAGATTCCGGGCTGGATCTCCAGGAGGGGGCGTGCTGGAGGCAGCCAATCAATGACTCTCATCATTGATGTTTCTATTTCTCCCTCTCCCTTCCTCTCTGAAATCAATAAAAATGTATTTTTTTTAAAAAAAAGAAGAAATCTAATTGACAACCAACCATCATTATCTCTGCATCGGTGGAAGATGGGGTGCCTCTGAGCCCAGTGTAATCTGCTACCATGGGGGTAGATGAGTCTGATGCATCGGTACCCACCTATGGAACAATCTAGATTGCGCCTTTAGCAGGTTGGGTGGGGAGAGAGCTGAGGGAGGGGCAGACACCATAATGGACGTCCCTGGCCATCACCTCAGCTGTGTCTGGCATTATTAAATCTTACCTTAGCCATTTCTTGTATTCGCTGCCTATCCTAGATCATAAACACGTTTTTTAGGTCAGAGGTGGTTCTGTCTTCCCTTGCCGCTGGTGCTGCCTTCATCACCTCTTCCCATTCCTATCTCAGAGCTCAGAGCTAACAAGCAAGAACTAATGAATCAAAAAGCCCACGCCACCTGATCCTGGGGTCTTCAGGGAGAACACAGGGCTTGAGCCGAATCTGTGGGAATTCCCTTTCCCGATTAATTTCCCCAGCTCCTCTGTGGGCTGTGCTCTCTGCTCCACTGGGATGGCACCGACATGACAGATGGCACTCGCCTGCCCAGAGAATTTATTCTGCCACACAGGAAGGGCTATATTCTTTTGCTACAAAACGTTTATAAATCACCGTTATGCATTGTTAGGCAGGAACATTGTAAAACAAGAGAGATGCATGCTATTTCATACATGGAAAGACTAGGCATTTGCGGATGGTAAGATGATAGATTCCTATGTATCCGTGGATCATGGAAACATCATTTGGAGATGTTGGTGTACATGCTGTAGGCAGCAGGAACGGCACCCGGTGTCGGACCTCGGGGCCAGACCAAACCTGGGTTCAGCACCTCGGCCCTTGGGTTCCGGCTAGGAAAGAATTCACAGCCAAGACCTGAACTGTAAGAGAACATTTACTGGGTAACTCACAGAGGGAGAAAGAGTAATTCCTAGAAGAAAGGGGCTTAGGAAATGAGTCATGCAGGTACAGGAAGGGCTCTGGGAGCTTGGGAGTGAGGAAGCTGATGGTAATGTGCCTGGGGCTGAGAGGGGGAAGGGAAGGCAAGAACTTGCTCCCTGGAGGGAGAGGCACTGGATCCTCCCTCCTAAGGGTTCTAAGGGCGGAGACTTTCGGGGAGGCCCCAGGGGAAGATCTCAATAGATTCTATTGAATAGAACAGTCAGCAGCTTCCCAGGGGTGTCCATCTAGGGCTGTGGGCTCCACGGATGGACTGGCGGCACCAGGGCAGGGGCCATCATCCAATGCCGCTGGCCCTGATGTCCGCTGTGGCCGGTTTCCTTGCGTCTCTGGGCCTGGAGCTGAAACACAACTGAGGCCCAGATGTTATCTCTGGGGAGGAAAAGTCAGGGGGTCCACACGGCATGACCAGCCATATGCCAGGGAGTAAGACTCACCCTGGGAATGAGGTCCCACCACAGACGATTGCCCCTCGCTGGGCACCCAGGGCTTTCCACCCTGATGACCTTGTGTACCTGGCCCACAGTCTGTAATTGTAGGGTGAGCCCTCCCCCCTCCCCCCACCCCCCCAGGGTGACTTCTCCTCCACTAGCATATTCCCTAATCACCTGATGACTGGGCATCAGGGTTAACTCCTTACTCATCCAGTTCTGCTTTTCATTAATTGAAGGAAAGAGGGCTTGAATTCTTGCCTTCTAGGCAAGTTTCAAATTTATCGGTGGCTTGAAGTTACTCAGGGTTTTATTTACACGGCCTCTCCAGTGAAATCAAAAGCTAGAATGAGCCCCAAAAAAATAACAAGCAGAAAATATAACCCCTTGCTTGTTTTCATCAGTCCCCCCCCCCCCCTTTTTTTCTAGAAAGATAATTCCAAGAAAGCGCCAATTATTGGCAACTGAACAGAACCTGCCGGAATCTGTCCTGGAATCACTGGAACATGAATGTTCCCCGAGTTGCTCAGATGACTTCATGAACTGTCAGCTGACTATGCAAACACAGGCAGAAATCAGAACCTGCTCTATTAGCACCACGTTTTTGGCAGGTGAGTAGCTTGTGCAGAAAGATAATCTCCGGAAGATAAGGAGGAAAAGGCTGTGTCTGCTATCTGCCTTCATCCCCTGAGGCAAGCCCCTTTATCATTCTCCAACTCTCTCTACCTGGAAAGTCTCCTTTCTTTCCAAGGCTGTTGGGGACCTCAGAAGACAGGCGCTCTACACACTCCGGGATTTATGGCCGGGTGGTGTTTTTAACTGCCGACCTAAAGCCAGCGAATGGATTGGAGTTTGTTCAAATCAGAAGGACATGCCCCGTGAGGTGGGATTGGGATCGGCAGACACCCAGGCCAGACGTGGTTTTGTTTTGTATTTCTTTTTGTCAATTGCAGGTTGGCCCATTTTGAAAGTAGGTTTCATGGCAGAATTCCTGGAATGCGCCCAAGGAAGAGAGAAGCAGGCAGGTAGTCAGTCTGGTGATAATAAGACATTTCCAAAAAACGAAATGTGTTTCCCACCCCCCCTGTGATTTTTGCAACAAAATGGGCGATGACTTAGGATGGAACCAGAATATCAAATACCAAATAACATACAAAAGGGATAATACTGGGAAAGACTTTGTTTTCAAGTCAAATCAAAATAGAATGATTTCAGAGGCAATGGCTTCTTGTCAAGAATAACTGTCATTTGAATTCCCAGAGGCACCGGTGAGAATGATCTGGGGCCAAGACTAAAGAAGAATCTGTTCAATCAAACACGGTGAAATGTTATTTTAGTCCTAATTTTCCCAGTCACGTTTGCATGATCGAAGATTTTTTTCTTGGCTTTTTTCTCTGCTGGGGGGGGGCCATAGCTTTATATACTGATTAAATTTTTTAATGGATTTACCATATATATTGAGTTTGCATATATATATGTATATATACTAGTATATATATATAGAGATAGATAGATAGATACAGATCTATAGATATAGATATTGATTTCAGAGAGGAAGGGAGAGGGAGAGAGAGAGAGAGAAACAACCATGATGAGAGAGAATCATGGATCGGCTGCCTCCTGCACGCCCCCGCTACTGGGAATTGGGCTGCAACCCGGGCATGTGCCCTTGACCAGAATCGAATCCAAAACCCTTCAGTCCGCAGGCCCACGCTCTATCCACTGGGCCACACCAGCTAGGGCCACTGATTAACTTTTTTAATCCAGGAAACTTTATCAGTCTTCTCTGGCTAGTGAGCCACACTAAGAGTCGCCCTCTTGAGACGATTCAGTGCGGAGGAGACCACAAAGTCACGAAGAGTGGGAGCTGGTAGGCATCGCTGGGACCTCCTGATGGAGACCACGGGGCCCACGGAGCCCACGGAGCCCACAGAGCTCAGGGCGTCCTTGCTCCACGCTCCGGGATGCGGAAGAGTCTGATTTGCATTAGGGACCTCTGCATTCCATACACAGAAAATAGGATGATGATGATGATGGCCACCAAAGCGCTCTTTGGAGCAGAAAACAAACTCGGACCATGAGTGTTTTTTCCCCCACGGCATTCATTCAAGAGTTCATTCCTTGAGATCTCACTTAGGTTATAAGGCTCAGCGTGCTTCTAATTGCACTGGCCTCAGTTATTCAAAACAATAGGAGAGGGAGAGAGAGAGAGAGAGAGAGAGAGAGAGAGAGAGAGAGAGAGAGAGAGAGAGAGAGAGAGAGGAGGCGGGCGTATACACAGGCTTCGGACATTCTTCACATTGCAAACCCATCAACAAAAGAAGGGAGAAGATCTGAAGCGAACGAGTGGTTTCTGCGGATTCGGGGGGGGGGGGGGGATGAGAATGTCTCTACATAAACAAGAAGCTCCGGATGGCAAGTCTGCTTTTTTAAAAAATAAAAAATAAAAATGTTACCGCTCGCCCACAAGGTCGTAAAGCCACAGGCTGGACGGAGGCGAGGAGAAAGTGTGTGTGTGGCTGCGATGTCTGTGGGTTCCATGCGGAGAGTGAAGCGGAGGGGGGGGGGGGGCCCGCGGGGGTGGGGGGTGGAGGGCGGGGGGAGAGGGAGGGGGAGGGGGAGGGGGGAGGCTGGTGCGATCTGTTTGGTGTTCGGAGCCAATAGAAACCCCGGGCTGTGCTAATATCCCAGGCAGCGCCGCCGACAGAGGAGTCAGAGCTGAGCCTGCAGCTCGGAGCCTCGGATCCCGCCGCGGCCGCCGCCGCCGACCGCCTGGGGCTGCTCCCTCCTCGGGCGCGCGGCGCTGCTGCGCTCCGGCCGGGGTCCCCCGTGGCGGACAGGAGCTCCCCGAGAAAGCGAGGGGCAGGGAGAGCCAGAGGAGGGCCCGGAGGAGGAGGAGGAGGAGGAGGAGGAGGAGGAGGAGGAGGAGGAGGAGGAGGAGGAGGAGGAGGAGGAGGAGGAGGAGGCGGCTTGCACCGCGTCGCTGCAGGTAGGAGCTCGCGGCGGGTGCTGCTGCTTTTCTCCCGTCGCCCCGAGACGCTGACAAGTCGTGGACGCGGTTCCATCGATCGCCGGGCGCGATCATCGGAGTGCCCGTGGGGCCCGGGTCACCTCCGCGCTTCCGAGCGGTTGGCGTGCGTTTTGGGGGGCCACGGGGTGTGCTCACCGATTGAATGATCCGTGGGTGGGAAGCACGGACCTTCAAACTTGACCGTGCGCTCTCGCTCTCGCTCTCTCTCTCTCTCTCTCTCTCTCTCTAATAAGCTCAGTACCTGCACGCTGTCAGGCTAGCCATGCATACCTCCTGGAGGCTGACCTCCTTGATAGCTGTGACCCAGAGCAGGTCACACACCGTGTGGCTGTGAGGAGGCGGCTTTGCACCCCCTCCACCTACCTGCCAGGTGAATGGAGGGCCCCCCCGCCCCCAGACCGGGAGCCACTGGCCCCCTGGGCAGGGTTGGCATGGCTGAGGCATCTGGCCCAGCCGGACTGGGCTCAGCAGTGAAATGTCACAGTATCAGGGTGCCAGGGTGGAAGGAGGCAAGGGAGAAGGCAGAGAGATTCTTTAGAAATGTGAAGTGTGGGGGACTCCGGCTGTGTTACCTGGTTTCTGTGTACAGTTTTGCCTTCCGAGTTGAAACTGCGGTTGTCATTCTGCACCCGCAGGCAGGCTCAGTACCAGGCCCTCAACCTGTTCTTACATCGAAAAGTCCCGGCGGGAGCCCTGTCCTAAATACACCTGCGAGGAAACGTCCTTCTGGGGTTGAAATGTGTTTTTTTTAAATATATAGATCCTTGCATGGGTAGACTTCTGGCCATGTCCTTCGTTTCCTTTCTCTCTTTATTTTGAGAGACGGGTTGTGTGTGGGGGGAAAAAAAATCCAATTTTTCCCGAGATTTTGCCACGTTCGAGTTTGAATGTTGACGATGGTTATGTAACGTGGCTTCCTGTGGCTGACTTGTGGTTCGTGAGCCCTGCTTCAGGAGTTCAGGGCTTCCCTTGGAGAAGCCGGAGGGAACTGAACGGAGGCTCAGCTATGGGATGCGTTGTGCTGGGGGGTGGGGGGCACCCTCAGAGACTGGTGAATGTCCGTGAAGAGACTCTGAATGTCCGTGAAGAGCGCTCCTGCAGTGAGGAGCTGTAGTTCAGTAAGAACAGGACCCCGCAGCAGGTGCAGGAGCAGCGGGCCATGTGGTGTTAGGTCTAAATGGCACTCCTGTGCGTGGATTCTTCACAGCTCATCCCCCCAACACCCCCTGATCGCGCACAGTCAGCCCCACACCCAGTCCCACATCCAGTCCCGCCTGGTTTACGGGGCCCGCTCAGCCCGAGACATGGGCCGCCCCAAGAAAGATAAGGGAGTTACGAGACAGGCATTGGTTTTGCGTATCACCGTGGAGAGTTCACATGGCCCCGTGTTTCACACGATGAACGTGTTCTCTTGTCACGAAGGGAAATTCACGCGTAGCTGTGGGGAGCCGGCACGGCCATGGCATACTCATGCCAGCTCAGCCTGGTTCAGTGACCCTGAGTGGGGGGCGATGAAAGGATTAAGAAAAGACAGACAAGCCCTGGTTGGTTTGGCCCAGTGGATGGAGCGTCAGGCTGCGGACTGAGAGGTCCCGGGTTCAATTCCGGTCAAGGGCACATGCCTGGGTTGTGGGCTCCGTCCCTAGTGGGGGGCGTGCGGGAGGCAGCTGATCCATGATTATCTCTCATCATTGATGTTTCCATCTCTCTCTCCCTCTCCCTCCCCCTCTGAAATAAATAAACATATATTTTAAAAGAAAAAAAAAGAAAAGACAGACAAGAGAATGAAAGCTGGGTCTCGGGGGGACGCTGCCCCTCTGATGGACAGCACCCGCGCCCACAAGCCGTGTCTTTATTTTAGAGCAGATTCCACGAGGCAAAGTAGGGGCGTGATCACGTTGTTTACAGCATTCTCGTGGGTTTCAGTCCCACTCAACTACATGCACCTGAACTCTATCACTCGGGCACGTGGGGCCACGTGATCGGACCACAGGTTCAAGCTCACAACCACAGCTGTTGGCTATAATTGTGCTGGGAAGGCTCTGCCCTCCAAGCGGGGACTTGCACGTGGCCATGAGAGGACTGTGCCCTCTCATCAGTCCGAGGCTTGAACCTGTCCAACACCGTAGCCGCGCTCCACACATAGCTATACCTTAGAGAAGCGGTTCTCAACCTGTGCATCGCGACCCCTTCGGTGGTCGAACGACCCTTTCACAGGGGGCGCCTAAGACCATCCTGCATATCAGATATTTACATGACGATTCATCACAGTAGCAACATGACAGTGATGAAGTAGCCACGAAAATAATTGTATGGTTGGGTCACAACATGAGGAACTGTATTTAAAGGGCCAGGAGGTTGAGAACCACTGCCTTAGAGTCATGAAAACTGCCTATATTTTTGCCCATCCCCAGATTTGAATGAGTTAACCAGGTGCGTTTGAAAGCACGTCAAAGGATGGATGTGGCGAGTCAATATCATATTTAGGAGCGAGCGTTTTGATTTTACAGATGAATATTTTTCTCTTTTTATATCACAAGGAACTTGATGGTAAGGGAATTTACCTCTTTGAATAAATACAAATTAATTGACCCAGCTAAATTGAATTTGTAGTTAAAAGGGGTGGCTTTGTAGTGCTGGAAGTATTTGTCAATTTCCTATCCATATCATATCTGAACTAAATGGAGACTCATTTCCCTCTTACTTTCAAACTCTTTTTTAAAGTATTTTTATTGATTTCAGAGAGGAAAGGAGAGAGAGAAATAGAAACATCAATAATGAGAATCATGGATCGGCTGCGCCCCCTACTGGGAATCAAGCCCACAACCCGGGCATGTGCCCTGACCGGAAATCGAACCCGGGACCCTTCAGTCAGCAGGCCAGTGCTCTGTCCACTGAGCCAAACCACCCATGGCTTACCATTCAAAGTCTTAAAAATATTGGGCCTGTTGGTGGTAAACTGAGTGAATGAGAGACTGAATATATAGGCTGTGTATGGCCTGAGAGACGCTGGTGGGATTTTAAAGATAAATATAACCAGTGTCTGGCTAACCCTTGTGTAGTCCTGTCATTTTTCCCTGAGAGAGGAGATCAAACTGCCCTTCTCTGGGGATCTCCGTCCAGCCAGCCGGAGCTTGAGACACCCTCCAGTTGAAACGTTAGGTGCAGTCTGAACGAGGTACATGCCTTCAGTCTCTTTAAAGGAGACGCCTCTCCCTCAGCCCTCTTCTGCAAAAGCACAGGAATGGAATTAGACTCTGTGTCTGGGTGCCAGGTTCTCATTGATATGGAGAGGGCCGGCCAGCCTGGGTCAAGGACAAGCACTGAGAGCCCGCAGGGGCCCGGCGCACACGGATCGGACCAGCCCCGTTGGCACTCAGGTGTGGCTGCAGCCGGCAGGCCAGGTAGCAGGCCTTTGCTCAGTGTCGGGGACCTTTAAGGATTTAGGACAGTGGTTCTCAACCTTGGCTGCACATTAGAATCCCCTGGGAATCTTTCTAAAATCCTGATGTCTGGGCCCCATCCTCCGGAAATTCTGTTTCTCTGTTACTACTGTGGTGACCCCACCCCATCACAAAGAAACAGAATTTCCGGAGGAGGAGGCCCAGAAATCAGGATTCTCAAAAGATTCCCAGGGGATTCTAATGTGCAGCCAAGGTTGAGAACCACTGATTTAGGAGAAAAGTGAAGAAAAAAAAAAAAAGGTTCCAAATGGATAAATGTGTGGAGTATGGGGCTTGAAATGAGTCACAATAAGAAGCAATAAATGTGCTAAAACCGGTGTGGCTCGGTGGATAGAGCGTCGGCCTGCGGACTGAAGGGTCCCACGTTCGATTCCGGTCAAGGGCATGTGCCTTGGTTGCGGGCACATCCCCAGTGGGAGGTGTGCAGGAGGCAGCTGATCAATGTTTCACTCTCATCGATGTTTCTAGCTCTCTATCCCTCTCCCTTCCTCTCTGTAAAAAATCAATAAAAAAAATATTTAAAAAAAAGAAGCAATAAATGAGACATCCTGTTTTGGAGAGGAGAGTGTGCACTTATAAGGTAGGCCTCTGATGCCATCTACTTCTGTTTGCTTCGCTATTTCTCTTACTACCACAGTGTTCTTTATTTTTAAAGATTGTTTTCTTTTATTTATTTTTAGAGAGAGAGGAAGGAGACGCAGAGAGAGAGAAACATGTATGTAAGAGCAAAACCTCAAACGGCCGCCTCCTGCACGCCCCCTATTGGGGATCCAGCCGCAAGCTGGGCATGTGCCCTTGACCGGAATCAAACCTGGGACCCTTAAGTCCACAGGCTGATGCTCTATCCACTGAGCCAAACCGGCCAGGGCGATTTTCTGAATATTTTAAACCATTTCTCATGCACACACAGGTCTCCATGCAGAGATGGGTGGAAATACAGGCATCTGGTGAGCTCTTAACAATCCTGTCCTTACAGTCCAGGAGAGGGCAATATGCAAACGGGCAAAAGCCAGGCCTCCCCTTGACCAGGGGGAGCCTGCACCCTCCAAACGGCTGAGAAAATGCGCCCCTGACTGTACGCACCCCACTCCCTCCGGAAGAAGGGGCCGGGGTCTTGGTCACGGGTGCACTGCTCAGAAAGGCTGGTTTTTATTTTTACGCCAGACGTGGACGTGCCTGGCAAAGACGGACTGCAGCGTATTTAACAGATAACTTAGTTTCCCTCTCTTTTCATCAGCTTCACTCTTTATTATTTTTTAATAGATATTTTTTTATTGATTTCAGACAGGAAAGGAGAGGGAGAGAGAGAGACAGAAACATCAGTGATGAGAGAGAATAATGGATCGGCTGCCTCCTGCCTGCCCCACACTGGGGATCGAGCCCACAACCCAGGCGTGTGCCCTGACTGGCAATTGAACCCTGACCTCCTGGTTCTTTGGTTGACACTCAACCACTGAGCCACACCAGCCGGGCCGTCCTGCTATTCTTTAGCCA